AGGGAAGGGGAAGGAGCTTCCCCGCACATCCCGCACGGGCTGCCACGCGCCCTCCTTCGCCCACCGCCGGGGCGTCACCACCAGCCCGCGGGCTGAAGCCGGGCCGCAGAGGTGCGAGCACGGCCGCCCTCCCGCGTCGTGCAGGTCCGTCACAGCAGCTCAGGCAGTAACCATCACCATCGCCGCCTGGTTTACCAGAATTTGATTAAGGTTTTAAGACAGCTACTGCTCGTAGCTGAACACGATCAAGCTCATTAAAAGCCAAACAACAAAAGCCTCCTGCCTTCCCCGTAATCACCAACGGTTCCAAACTTTAACATGCTTTAGCCTATCATCATCACGTTTCTTTCTTGCTACGCTAATTCCCGGTCTTAGTTAAGTCCCAACATGCTTTCCAAATTTTCACCATTGGTTTTATTACCTTTCCTTTAAACACTTCCTGCCTTCTTCCTGGTCTATCCGAGCGTTTTGCTCTACAGCATACCCCACACAGCGCTCCCGGGGCTTAGTCCCACGCACAGGAGGAACACCAAGGAAAAGCTTTGCACTGGTCTGTCCCACTTCAGAACCAGTGCCTAAGATGACTGACTGTTTGCTGCCACCCAAACTGGCAGCTTTTGATGCCATTTCCAAATTCTCCAGTGTCTGGAGAGGGCTCTCATACTTGAAAACAAGGAACCGACAGACAGCCTATCTTCGCAGCAAGGTTCAGGGTGCTCCCTGGCACTTGTATTAATTCATGTCAATAAGCCAAGGCAGTCACAGGAAAGGACCCTAATTCTTAACATTTCCAGACTATACACACAAGCTGAGACAACTTCAAAAATAAATCAAGTTTTCATTAGGTTTTCCCTACAGAAAGGCATGATTACAATGCATTTCTAGCTACAGCTCTGTAACCACTTTGCCTTAAAGGACTTCCATAAAGGAAGGAACATGGCAATACTGAGGAGATGGTACTTTGCAGAGAGAATATTGCAATGTCCAATATGCAATTACATATTAGGAAACACATGGAAAGTTATCTAATAAAATGTTACCATGACTGGAAAACGCAAGGAAGAACCTTAGAGCAAGCACGTGTACTGCTTTAGTGGACAATGAGATTCCAACAATCTCTGTCCCAGAGGTACATGGAGTATGAAAGGGGGCTTTTTAATCAGGAAGGGAATCAGAACCAGCTCAAAGGGCATGCTACAAACACCAGAGGAAAAAAGGCCTTGTGTTCAGATCTCATCGCACCTTTCTAGCACTGGGACAAGGATTGCTGCTAGAGGTTGACAAGCTCTTTCAGAGTGATATTTCACATGAACTTAAGCATTTTGTACTTGTCTACTCGTTTTGCTGTCCAAAATCTTCTGGGAAGTTTTTCAAATTCTGCCCTTAATATTTCACATCATCTGACCTTGTCATGACCAAACATTAAGAATCAGTAAGTCCTATCCCACTGTACTTGCAAAAAGCAACGAGGCACAGTTTTAAATCATTGAATATTGACTCATTTTATTAGTCACTCCATAATTTGTTTCAACCAAAAGACAATACACATAGAAGTCTAATGCATCCCATGTAAATGTTTACATCCATTATGCTCCTCACTCACCTAAGACTCGGCATTTATTTAAATTTTTCACATCTCAAAAATAGGTCTGCAGAAGTTTGAACACCACCAGGCTCCCTGCTCAAATGGCATGTGTTTACTTTAAATTTGGTTGGGTTTGTTGGGGTTTTGGTTTGGGTTTTTTTGTTTGTTTGATGATTATTTTTTTACTATACTGTCAAAGAGGTGGGATGGGGCTCTATGTAAAATGTAAATTACAACATCAGGAAAGAAAAAGGAATATACAGCAATAGAGTGAAAGTTCAGAGGGAAGCAGATCAGTAGCTCCTTCCCTCACAGCCTCCAAGTAGAAAATGAACACACAGAAAGCACACCAGTAGATCTAAAAAAAAGCCATCTTTGCTGCTCCATCTTGCAGCTAGTACCAGCCTTGGGGAAGGCACTAAGTCACCTTTCCCAGCTGTTTCAGCATCTTCTGAGTTATATATCCAAGATACTGTATAGGTGGCAGTCCCCTCACTGCTATTGCTTCAAAAGGTTGTTCAAGGCCATATTTTGTCCCATCAAAACCTGAACAAAGTCAAATGTTAGGACCGTCCCACGTCTTCTCCCCCTTCAGGCCCATTATGGCCACTATTCTTTGTCATTTTTTGACTCAAAATACATTCACTTGAAAAAAACACAGACATTCAATCTCAACTCCGAAGTCTCCAATGCAGATGTTAGTAAGATTAGCCATGGAGTCTGTATCTGGATCTCTTTATATTCCCCTTACACTGAAGCACGGAAAATGTTGACCAGATCTGTAAGAATCGTTGCATTCAACTTGTGGAAAAAAGACTCACCCTGTCCTCAGAGTGCCTCAGATGTGGACATGTGAATACTCTCCAGTGAGAAAACAAAGCAGCAGCATAGATCTTGAGATGTACTTGGGAGTCAAGGAGCAAGTGATGGTATCTAGTATTGCAGATATGGGAATGTGTGAAACCTGGCCTTCCTTCTGGTGTCGTGTTAGTACCCCATCCTTTAGCAAGGGGAAG